TATCATGGGTTACAAAAAAAAAAAAGAACAAAAAATTCGATCATGGATTACAAAAAAAAAAAAACAATTCGATCATGGATTACAAAAAAATCGATCAAGTATTACAAAACATTCGATCATGGATTACAAAAAAATAAAAAAAATTAAAAAAAATAAAAAAAAATTCTGTTCTTCACAGAGCCATTTTACATAAGCGATTTTAACTCAAAAATCCACCTCTAAGTGAATAAATTACATCCAATTGAGTATATTTTCTGATAAACAACAATATAAGGAATCAAAACCCTAAGTTTTTAACACATTATTTCTAATATATCATGAAAACAAAATCAAAAGGCGGAAAAAAAAAAAAAACAACGGAATTTTGGTTCCGCAGACATCTCAGTGTTCATCTCAAATTTCATGATGTAATTGACCAGATTACGTAAAATTGAAAATTTTAAATCATACTAGACACAATAAGGATTAAAAACCCTAATTATTGAACTCATTATGTTCAAAATATGCCGTGAAATAAATCAAATGGCGGAAAAAAAAAAAACCCAAACTTCTTACTTGATTTTGTGAACCGAAGCCTTCAATCTCCAAAAAACTCTGTTTTTCTCAACGATTATCACAAATTAGTAACAAAAGGTTTTGATTCACAGCTTTACCATCAAAATGCCTACAAATTTTGAAAGATTCATGCCCTATTTGGCATGAAACTTTCAGAAAAGGCGGAAACCCTAAACACCAAATTTTTCGTGATCCAAAAACACCAAAATTTTCAACCATTTAATCTTTGAAAAAGCTGAATAAAGCTGTTTACAGCCTGCAAATTAGATCACATGCAAAAAAAAACAAGAAAAATGATCAAAAAATGACAAATTTCAAAGAATCCCATGAAGAATACTGTGCAACCCGTGTTCTTCACGGACTCGCCGATTCCGTACAGTGACTCGGCGAGTCACTGAGCAGAATCGTCCGGTTCTCTCTAGAACCAAACGATTTTCGATTTTTTAGCCGATACGATCCCCTTTTTACGATTTTTGAGTCGAACCGGGCTCGCCCGGTTCGACTCGGCGTTTTTTAAAACACTGGTCTGAATAGCAGGTTCAAGAACAGGAGAATAACCAAGTAAAATTGAGAGAGAGAGAGAGAGAGAGGGGTTAAATTTCACGATTTGAAGCAAAACAATTTTTTAGGTTATTTTAAAAAAATTTGATACAAAAAATGTATCTTCTAGCATGCGAGGCGAGTTTTACGGGGATTGTTTAAGGTTGTCACCATATACAAGATACATTTTTTTTTTTTATTGTCGAGTCTTATTCCAATTATCTGAAATCAGCCAACAATATCTTATTTTATTTATTTTGTATATATTTTATATCACCAATACAAACCGATCTAGATCCTGATTAACAATGCAACAATCCGACAAAAATATGCCGGTCCTACCCAACCAATCCGGATTTTAAAACCCTGTCGCATCCATCACAAACAAATGGGGCACTTTTGATATTAATGGAACTCAGAGCTCTCTCAGTAAAAACGGCCTAAAGCTCTTTGATTTCGGCCTCAGATCCTTGCTGGCATTCTTATAGTGTGTTGATCTCGCAGTGAGCTGCATTTTGGTATCAGTTTCAAGGGTTTTCATGCTCTTTAAGGCTTTGATTTTATCGATAAGTGCTTATTGGTTCGGTAAGGGGTTTTCTTTCTCCATTAGCACCTTTTTTCAGGTTCCTTTCGAATTCCTTCCATGAACTTTACTGATCAATGTCTTGGATCGGGCTGTAATCGTGTTCATAAACGATTTCACTTCTGGTTGTTGACTCTTTCATAGCAGTGAGATTTAACGGTTTTGCGTGGTTTTAGCCCTTACACTATATTTGTTGGGTTTTGAAGGTTTAGGTGTTTGTATACAGTTAATTTGTCTGATTTTGGGGAGATTTGGTTGTGATTTATGAATTGCATAACGATTGAAAACCATTTCAGATCATTTTGAGGTGTTTGGTATTTGAGATGTGGAGTTTCCTCGCCAGTGGAGAGATCTAGTTTTTGGTTTCAGAAGTCGCATAAGGATCTTCAACTAATGCTTACTTCGTATTCAGCTATACTTGGTTATGTTTTGGTGGTTGTTGAATACTATTATGTTTCTTCATTGATGACGTTGAGATTATGTTAAGACTAAGAACACTTGGGTGAAAATTTTCTTGCTTGTTAACTTGCAGTTCTTGTGATCTAATGCAATAGCGACTGGAATCGAATTGCAACATTTGCCATGCTCGTCATATCTCTTGATTGAAGGATTTCCTGTGTGGTCTGGAGTGGAATCAAAAGTGTGCTTGAGCTTGTCTTTCAATCCAGAGACAAAAGCACATGGAAATTCAGCCAGTCCTCTAAGATTTGCCTGTTATTCAGCAGAAGAGGGAAGTTTTGATGCTGTAGTGATAATCAAAGATCTATTTTGTATACACAAAGAGGTTACAGGATAAATTTGGAGAGAGAGACTTTTGAATAAGTCTATTAGATCATTTTGAGGTGTTTGGTATTTGAGATTATCTCCCCTTCAAAATCCCTCACACCTTGCCCCTTCCTCTCTGTAAGGCTCCCCTTCAAAAACCCTCACACTTTACCCCTTCCTCTCTGTAAGACCACCAGACATGGCGCTCCACCTCTTGTCAACAAAACCGCTTCTCCTCCACTTGAACAAACCGCTATCCCCACAAAACCACTATCCAAAACCGCTTTTCAGTCCAAAAATAATGAAATACCCAAGAAACCCCTTATCATTCTCGTCTCAACCTACCTTCTCTCATGGCTGCAAAACCCTAAAATCCAATCATCTCACCCCAAATTACCCCTCCAAAATCCCCATTTTGCCCCCCATCCTTTGTCTATTTACCGGCCTGGTTGAAGAGATCGGCCACATAAAACAAACAGGCTTCAAAATCGAAGACACATTTGTGATGAAAATAACGGCTAGGACCGTTCTCACCGGCATTACATTAGGAGACAGCATCGCTGTTAATGGGGCCTGCCTAACGGTAACAGACTTCGACGCGGAGGGCTTCACCGTAGGATTGGCCCCGGAAACTCGCCGGAAAACCAACCTCGGCGACCTCTTGCTGGGTTCTCCAGTGAATCTGGAGAGGGCACTGCAACCGACGGCCAGAATGGGCGGGCACATTGTCCAAGGACACGTGGATGGCACAGGATCAATCGTGATGAAGCGAGAGGAGGGTGACTCGCTCTGGGTGAAGATTAGGGTTTCTGATGAGTTGATGAGGTACATTGTGCCCAAGGGGTTTATCGCCGTTGATGGGACGAGTTTAACGGTGGTAGATGTGATTGATGAGGAGGGGTGTTTTACCTTTATGTTGGTTGCTTATACTCAAGAGAAGGTGATTATTGCTACGAAGGAGGTTGGGGATAGGGTTAATTTGGAGGTGGATATTTTGGGTAAGTATGTGGAGAGATTGTTGAGACTAGGGCCTAACCCTAACCCTAACCCTAAGCTTAGTGATTCTTCTTAACTTAATTTAATAAGGGAGTACGTGTCCAAATAATAGAGATATTGGGGGCTTGTAAGATGCTGACAAGCCTCGACAAATATACCATTAGAATACAAGCGAGTCTGGAATACCTGTGAAAGTTTTTTCAAAGTCGCACTTTCTAGAGAAACTTCTAAGGTGCATTGGATTCCTTTTCATTTTCTGCAGCTTTGGCCTTGCCTCTAGAGTTGATTTCTCTGAAAAAAATTTGAGAAACAAGGGAGAATGTAAAACTCAGATAATGGTGGTTAAAATCTATGAAACATGATTTCTGCAGAGTTTTCCATATTTGAAGTTTTTCTTACTCTTTTAGATTGAGATAGAGCTGGGTGTATATAGAAAATGATCCTTTATTGTAGATCTATTGTTGGTGGCTTGCATTTGGTGGGGATTAGTTGGAAGTGCTGACCAATGAATGAAGTGGTTGAGAGTTCCTTACTGTAGACAATTTTCAGGCTCACTAAAACCGAAAAGTAAATGGACTTCAGCCATGGGATGAGGATACATTTCAAGTGACAACATAAACATAAGTGGATAAATGTCAAACTACAAAAACAGAGTCAATTGTGCTAAATGTTTGGGCTTCAAGTTGAGAAATATTTTGAAATCAATTCAAATGCAAGCATTAGCAGAAATATTGCTCTAAGCTGTTTAAACTTGTGTGCTGATCTAACACTCAGTATTTAAAGTTCATCACATTTTGCTCTCTTAAACTTACACGGTTACACCTACAAGTAGAATTTGAATGCTATTGAAGTTTTGTTCGAGGCATCATTAAACCTTAGTATTTTCCCACTTCTTTCAATACAACCTTATGTTGAGTTATCAAGTCAACAAAAACCATACATGAATGGAGGTGTCCTAGTGACTTGATCCTCCACACAAGTCTTACACTGAAAGCCAATGATAAAGGGTAGATGAGCCCTAACTCTTTCAATTTGGCCCTTGTTTTCAGAAATATCTGAATTAGTTTTCATGTGCACACACAATGTTTGGTAATCAGGATAATGCATGGATTTGTTGATTCATTGGGGTTTGTGTTAGCTTTTGGATCCGGGTTCAGCGATGGTGATGAAGCTTCTAATTGCATTTATTGGAAAGTTGTTCTTGTTCAATCCTTTTACATGGTTTGTGAAGTAGGCTTGGATGTGTGAAATTCATGTTCATGCCTCAGTATAAGTTGCTTTTTGGGAAATTTATCAAAATATACTTGAGATATGAAATATTTAACAATTTTCCGTATTGTTTGATTTTATTTCAAAATACCTATGAAAATATCTAGGATCATGAATTCGAATAGTTGCAAATGTGCAAAATGATAAATAATGCATCTGTCATTGGCATTTTGAAAATTTTCCCTTTTTTTTTATATGATGATGGTGTCATCTGCAACACATGAGATGCCATGCTGATGTCTTTACCTACAAAAGATATCATGCTGATATAACCTCTCTTGTAGGTGGGTTGGCTGTCACTACATGCCCATGTATGATGTTCCAATTATGTGGTCAGGTGGAAAATGATCAATATGCTTAGTAATAATCGTTAAGTGATTTGCGTGTTATCATTTATGGTCAAATGGTGAAATCTATTTCTTCTTCTCTCTCTCTCTCTCTCTCTCTCTCTCTCTCTCTCTATATATATATATATATATATATATATATATCTAACGTAACAACTACTAAGCACTGAGGGGTGTTTCATCCAAGTATGGGATTTTAGAGTACCCTGTTGTGCAAAGTGTATCATGCATTTTGAGGTTGATATCTGATAAAAAATGGTAAGCTTATTTCATTTATGACGGGTTGCTTAACATCTCTCTCTCTCTCTCTCGGATGAATCAGTCGGGATCATGGGCCCCTAAAACATGCATCTCTTCTTTGTTGGGATGCTTGCAATGGGATTATTGCTTGTCAAGTTTCCAACAGAAATGAAGCCCAATGATTAGGAATGATACCCAAAATGGTTGTAATGAACTGCATAATGGGTATGTCATGGATGCCCCTTGAGATAAAACTCAAATTATCCATTTCCATCCATTATTCAACCATTATTGGGGTGTGTTTGATAACTGGAAGTCGTGGCTTCCAGTTATTGTTGCACTTCCCATTTGTTAAAGGGAATTGTAATGATGTTTTGGAAGCTGCTGCTTCCCACAACTTTCAAAATGGCGTTGGATTGCACGTAAATGGGGAAGCTGCGTCTTCCATGCTAACCCATGGAAGCAGTGCTTTCGGAACACGCCCTTAGGGGTAGGTAAATCATATCTTCGTAACACGCCCTTACGGGCAAGTAAATCATATATATTGTGTATATTTCAGCAAAATGATTTATATATTGTGTATATTTCAGCAAAAAAAAGGCGACTTGCTACAGTAAATCGGCAAGTTGCAGTTATATATTGTTTATATTTCAGCGAAAAAACGGCGAATTGCTACAGTAAATCGGCAAGTTGCTGCAGTAAAATGGCAGAATTGGCGAGCAGCTACAGTGAAACGGCGCCCCGTGTCCATGGGCACAAGGTCTCATGCTTCTTCACACACTTCACACGTGTTCTCTAGTGGTATCAAGGAAAGTTTTACCATCAATCTCCTTTCAATTTTTCGATGTGGGATTTGAATGGTACTTGGCTTCAAAAGGTAATACAATATAATAGTTTATTCATGTGGATAATGCCACAAGTGGGGCAGTGGTGTAGTTTAGAGTGAGAAAAAAACCATTTTGACTTTGTAGGGAGTGGTTTGTCTGCATTGTGGTTGGACCAGTTAAATCTGGCCCCGCACAGAGGAAGGTTATCAGTTCATTGCCCATGATATATTTTATCAATAACTTCCTTGCTGGCATTCTTCTTCCTAGCATATTTCTTTCATGATTCCACCGAAATACATTGAAATCTCCTCTATGCATCATTGAGTATTACAGCCTGTGTCTTTCATGCACTCTGTAGCCTAGTTGCTTTGGTGTTTAGAATAGATGTTTTCGTCGTTCCATCATGAGATATCCAGTTGGATCTTTTCTCATTCACTGATATTCTATTGAGTTCCTATTTAGTAGATTCAATGTAAATTTTTTCTCTTAATGAGACTTCATGCACATATTGTGTAATTAAATAGGTAGTTGTGAATCATCCAAAAAAGATGAAACAGGTAATTGTCTTTGGCACGTTAATCGGGCTAGTATTGCTAGTCTACTGCTGTTAGTAATTTGTTTCCTCTCAATGAGTTTCACTTGATTTAGTGTTATCTTTAAGCTGGTAGTTTGCATATGCCTCCAAGTGCTTGTTCCTCCCCTCCTTTTTGAGTAGAAATGTACAGTCTAACTGCATTACCACAGTGGTTTCCGTGGAGAAATCTTCATTTCTAAAAACTTGACCTGACTTTGTCTTGCAGAGAAGTTTATGCACCATTCTGAAAAATTTGATGCGAAGCTGTTCCTGTCTCGTATCCATCAAAACATAGGTGCAGCAGATCTAGAACCTGGTGCACTTGCTTTAAAAACTGACCTCAGAGGTCGGACACAACAAAAAAAGCAATTGGTGAAGGAAAACTTTGAGTGCTTTGTCTCTTGCAAAACAACCATAGACGGTAAGCTACTCTGGCGTTCAACTTGTATAGCATGTCAGATGGTTAAGAGTGGCAACTTACATGCACTGAATGTCTTTGCTTTATGGTTTTTATGCACATACTGGGAAATAGAATACATCTTCTATTTCTGATATACCCAGGGAGCAGAACTTTTGGTTGTACAAGGAAATGACTTAGACACTTGGGTTTTTATGTGATCGTTTTTGCTCTTGTGTTGGAAATATAGTTCTATTTGTGAACTGATAACCTTCCTCCAAAAACCATTGTTAGTGAAGTTTAGAGTGAGAAAAAACAAGATTTTGAGGATTTGTGGAGAGATGGAACCTCCTTGAATGGTCACGAAATTAAAAGATATTCATTCCCGATCTTTTTGAGACTTTTAGTGGTTGTAAAAGAGGAGATTTGGGAATCAAAACATTTGGGTTTGGCCTGATACCAATTCCACTTCAAGAATGTTGGTATATTTCAACAGTTTTTATTAGCTTATGTATTTGTTTTTTTCACAATGTTTTTCTCTTGCTATTTGTATTTTTTTAATTTTGCGTTTGAGTTTGAACTATTTAATTTACAGTCTAAAGTCGTAGATGTTTATGTTTGATTTGTACTTCTGATTTCTGCGTTCTGAACAATATATTACTTACAAAACTTATTTATTGAACAAAAAAAGTCATTTCTATATACAATATAATGGGGAGAGGTGAGGGGTAAAAATCTGCAAGTATCTGCACTTCCCCAAGAGGCAGAGGTCGCCTTTGTCTCTAGGCACCCACCTAGGCGGCTGCCTTTGCCTTTTTTAACATTGCTCCTAGCCCTTGGATGGCTTTCGAACTGTCACAAAGTTTGAGAAAAAATTTTTAAACTTGGAGTCTAGTCAATGACACTCTTATGACCACCCAATCTGAAATCTGGCGGACAAGAGCAATTGTGACCTCTATACCAAAAGTAAATGTTCTCTTTCTATACTTTTCTTAAACAAACACACCCGCACGCACACATGCGCAATGTTTTATACTGGTTCGGGTCGCCCGACTTGACCTGCCCTGAGTCTGGTCCCATCATTTGGACCCAAACCGGCCCTGGATCTAGACCCAGACCCGGTTTGGGTTGACAGCCGGGTCAGTGGTTCTAACCAACCCAATTGCCACTCCTAATATAAAAGAGCCATCATATTTATTCTCTTGTCTGTAATATATGTTTGCTTGGCTTTCATTTTTTTTTGCACACGGTACTATATTGCGTAGCCCTTTCCATCTTGGGTCTTACATTTTTTTACCCCTCTCTCTATATGTGGGAACTCATATTTTTGGCTTTGTCCTCTTTTTCCTTTCCCAGATTTATTTCTTATGCCTGTGAGGTCCCTGATTCGTTATTTTTATGCTTCCATTTTATTTCATTTGGGATTATCACGTTTTTACTTTCTATTCCTTGCGATTTTTATGTTTAACTAAGTCAAGCATTTTAATTGTTCTCTTCTAGGTAGAGAAAATTTTGAAAGGATATACTTAGTGAGAGATTGGGCTAGAGAAGGCGTCAAGTAGAGCGAAAGAGGGATTGGAGAAAAATAATAGTATTTGCATTGCATTATAGAGGAGTAGGAGATGGGAGAAAGAGAGCAAGCAACATAGATTAGGAGTGAGCGGCATCGTTTACACACTCACTGATGTCGAAGAGCTTGGGGCATGGATGGAAGGGTGTCTTGATACCCACCCACTCTTTGAGCCTCTTTCTGAGGAAGAAGTGCATGCCGACCCTTTTGCAGCGATCTTGGATTTGGCTACTGAGGAGGGTACCACCGCCGACTGAATGCAGTAGCAACTAGTTGATGGGGATAAGTTTTTCCTTTCTGGCTTTTACTATGTTGAAGAACGTAAGAGAAGTTAAGGATACTGTTCCTTTCGCTCTAGGGTTTCCTTCATGAGTGGATATGAGGTGAAGAAATCCCACCATTTCTATCTTTTTGTATTATTTATTCTTCAATGTGAAATCCTTCATATGAATGGAGCACTTATTTCTCTTTTTCTTGGATTATTTATTCTTTCATTTATTTCGTTGGAATATTTATCTTGTATTTTACTTAATAACAATGCCTTGTTCTACAATGAACCTTCTGCATCGATGTGATAATGGAAAATGACCTCTAATGACATTCAATATTC